AACATACCCTAGAAAAATAGGGAGGTGAAAATATAAATCCTAGAAAAGAATTTTTTTATAAAAATTATTCAAAGACAAATATGCAAGAAAAGAATGAAAAAAAATCTTACCTTTGATTGTTTGTTGCTGCAAATTCAAACCTAAAAAAAATCTACATAAACTTGGGATCAAGAACAAACTCGATAAATTTTTTCATAAAAGTTAAATAAAGAAGAATATGCAAGAGAGAGGAGAGCCTCTGAGTTGCTTGAGAAATAAAACTAGGGAGAAGAGAACCTTCGAGTTGCTCTGAGCTGTAGGATCTTTCTTTTCCTCTCCTTTGTTTGTAAACAAAATTAGGGTTAGGGTTGGGGTTTTGGATGGTTTCGAGAAGCAATCGGGGAGATCTAGGGTTAGATTGGTATCTTCCGCTTCCAGCTCTAATCAGCGAAGGTGGAGGAAATGGATGTTGACTTTTGGTGGAGTCTCTTGAAGCGTAGGAGAGTGATGGTGAGGGCGATCTTGAGAGAGTTAGGGTCGGACGTCGATGAGGTTGATGATGGCGTTGCTATTTTCTTGAAGCGAACTTTGATTTGTGAGAGAGAGAGAGGGAGAGGGAGAGAGAGAGAGAATCTTTCTCTCTCTCTAAAACCCTAGAACAACCCTTTCAGAAGATAACCTTAGGATTTTCATTTCAAGAAGAGATGAAAACAATCATTTCAAGAAGAGAAAATAAAAAAGAAGAATTAGAGATTACCTCAAATATTGAGAGAGGAAAATAGAGAGGAAAACAAAGAAGAAAAATGGGAACTAGGGATTACCTTAGAGATTGAACTCCTATCTTTTTTTCCCTTATCCTTTTTTTTATCTTTTTTCTTATTCTTTTTCTTATCCCTTCCCTCCACCCTTGAGGATTGTAAAGTTATACTAGGAGAGAGTTTAAATACACAACATAGATTGATGGTTTTAGACATATCTATTAAGAAGTGGAGTAGAAAAACTAACGTGAACAAAAGACTAAGAACTAAATTGTGGAATTTAAAAGGAGAGAATTTAATACATTTTAAAGATAAGATAATGAAAGAAGATATATGAAACATAGATAATGAGACTAATATTATGTGGAATAACATGTCTTCTTGTATTAGAAAAATGGCTAAGATATACTAGGATAATCTAAAGGTTATACATTATACTGTAATAAGAGTTGGTGGTGTAATGAGAGTGTGCAAAAGATTATTAGCGAGAAAAAACTTTATATAAATAGTGGCAAAAGTATAGTAGGAAAAACTTAGAAAATATAAAATAGTAAGGAAGGAAGCAAAAAGAGTGGTTAGTGAGAATAAATACAAAGCTTATGAATTTTTTTATAAAAAGTTAGAATCTAAGAAGGGAGAGAAAATATAAATATAAATATATTTGATTTATCAATCAAAGGCCAAGATCTCCTCATGCACAAAAATAGGCGGGAGATGCGGATAAGATATTATCCTTTGAATATGAATAAGCCTCAGCATAAAAGAAAGCCTTGTGAACTCCTTACACCCCTCGTATAATAGTTACGCTCACCCCTTATCCTCACCCTCACCCCTACCCCCACCCTCACCCTCACCTAACCCTAACCCTAACCCTAACCCTAACCCTAACCCTCAACCTCACCAGTTGTTAACATTAGAGAAAGGAAGAGTAGAGATTTGGGTAATATTAGGTGTATTAAAAGTGAGAATCAAAGAGTTCTAGTGACCAACGGGGAAATAAGAAAGAGATGGAGGGGTTATTTTTATCAATTGTTTAATGATAATCAAATAAGTGAGCAAAATAGAGATTTTGACCATGTACTGAATGATAGGAGCTATAGATATTGTCGTAAAATGTGGATTAGCGAGGTTAAATATGCTCTAAAGAAAATAAAAAGTGGATGAGCCGTAAGACATGACGATATCCTATTGAAGTTTGAAAATATCTTGGAGATATAGGTTTACGATGGTTAACTAAACTATTTAATAAGATTACTGAGGCGAAAAGAATGTTGATGAGTGGAGGATTAATATTTTGACACCAATATATAAAAATAAAGGGGATATACAAAGTTGCTCAAATTATTGAGGTATAAAACTCATGAGTCATACTATAAAACTTTGAGAGAGGTTAATTGAGCAAAGACTAAAAAAAGAGACATGTATATCTGAAAATCAATTTGGTTTTATGCTTGGGAGGTCAACTATGGAACATGTACATATTTTGAGATGGTTGATAGAGAGATATAGAGAGAAGAGAAATGACCTACATATGGTTTTTATCGATCTAGAAAAACTTATGATAGAGTACCTAGAGAGGTAATGTGGTGGGTGTTAGAAAAAAAATATGTATCTAGTATATATATTGATGTGATTAAAGATATGTATGATAGAATAACAACTAGAGTAAGATCTAATGAAGGAGAGACTAAACCATTTCCTATTACCATAAGTTTACACCAAGGGTTAAGTCCTTATCTTTTTGCATTAGTTATGAACCAACTAAGCACATTCAGGATAAAATTTTAAGGTGTATGTTATTTGCAGATGATATAGTATTAGTTGATGAAACTAGAAGATGCATTATTGCTAAAGTAGAAAGATGGAGACAAGCTCTTGAGTCTAAAGGTTTTAGAATTAGTAGAATAAAAACAGAATATATGTAATGTATTTTTAGTAAAAATAGAAAAGAAAGAGCGCCTATGGTACATATTGCTGGAAAAAATACCTAAAACTAATCATTTTCGCAATTTAGGATCTATCATTAGACATGATGGTGAAATAGAGGATGATGTTGTGCATCGAATCAAATCGAGATGATTGAAATAGAGGAGTGCTTCGGGAGTCTTATGTGATCGTAGAATACTAATAAAACTAAAGGAAAAATTCTATAGGACGGCTATAAGACCAACTATGCTTTATGGATCAGAATGTTGGGCAATTAAAAAACATGTTTAAAAAATGAGTGTAGCAGAAATGAGAATATTACGATGGTCTTGTGGGTATATATTAAAAGATAGGATAAGAAATGAATGCATCCATAGTAAATTAGAGGTTGCGCCTATTGATGATAAAATGAGAGAGAATAGATTTAGATGGTTTGGTTATGTACAAAGGATAGGAAAAGTGATAATATTAGAGTTAATGAGGCTAAGAGATCTAGAGGTCGACCTAGAATGACTTGGTCAGAATCAATTAAGAATGATGTGATTAAGACTAACGTAATGGAGGAAATGACCCGTAACAGAATGGAATGAAAAAATAGAATTCATGTAGCCGACCCCAAATATTTTGGATAAAGTCTTGGACCTTGGTTGTTGTGGTGGTTGTTGTTTTATGATAGACTTTGAAGTGAAGGGTGTAATTAAAAACCCAACTTATCCTTTATCCTCCATCATATACAAGAAGAAAAAAAGATTAAGAAAAATGGTAAGGAAAAAAAGTTTATTCAGAAAATTAAGCAGATAAAAAATGGTAAGGAAAAAAGTCTGCTTAGGAAACTGAGCAGAGCTTTGAACTTACTTGTAAAGGAAATGGAAGATGGATGATAAAAGATAAATTAGCCATTGGGTTTTTAATTACACCATTCACTTCAAAATCCATCATACATAAGAGGGGAATAAAAAAACAGATTATGAAAAATGGCAAGGAAAAAAGTATGCTCAAAAAACTGAGCAGCTCTGAAGCACGGATTCGCCCCCAGAGGCCACGAATCTGTGTCCGACTCAAATCAGACACGGATTCGTCACGACACGTGCATGACACATGTCGGACACGGTCAATCCGTGTCTGAAAGGGTCAACGGTCAAATTAGGCTCGGACACGGTCAAAGGAGCTCGGACACGGCCCGGATTCGTCGAAGGCCGATTCATTCGGGTTGCGGGATTGATGGTTGCGGGATTGGTTGTTAAAATCCAACCCGAACCGTTCAATTAAAAAACCCATCCCTATTTCTCCAATCTCCCGTTCGATTCGATCCTCAGCTGACCCAAACGAAAGAAAATAAGAAAAAACCCTAACCCTAATCTCTCTCAATCTCTCAGCTTCCACTTCTTCTTGAGGTACTTTTTGTTTACAAACTTGTTATTTTGTGATAGATTCATATTTTAGATTGTTAGTTGAATTTTATAATTTTTTCTATATATAATAATATTTTTTAAAAAAAAATCCTTGCCGTATCCCCGTATCCTATTTTTTTGGATTTTGTCGTATCCCGTATCCGTGTCCGTATCATGTCCGTGTCCCGTATCCGTATCCGTGCATCATAGCTGAGCAGAGCATTGAACTTACTAGTAAAGAAAATGAAAGATGAAGGATAAAGGATAAATTAGCCATTGAGTTTTTAGTTACACCCTTCACTTTTAAAATTCATCATACATAAGTGGGAATTAAAAAAGATTATGAAAAATGGTAAGGAAAAATGTCTGCTTAGGAAACTGAGCAGAGCTTTGAACTTACTAGTGAAGGAAATGGAAGATGGAGGATAAAGGATAAATTAGCCATTGGGTTTGTAATTACACCCTTCACTTCAAAATCCATCATACATAAGAAGAAAAAGATAAGAAAAATGGTAAGGGGAAAAAGATAGGAGGAGTTCAATCTCTGAGGTAATCCCTGGTTTCCATTCTTCTTTTTTGTTTTTCCTCTCCGTTTTCCTCTCTCAATCTCTAAGATAATCTCCGATTCTTCTTTTTCATTATCTCTCTTCTTGAAATGATTGCTTTCATCTCTTCTTGAAATGAGAATCCTAAGGTTATCTGTGAGAGGGGTGCTGTAGGTTTTTTTTTTTTGAGAGAGATCCAATGGCGTGGAAAAAGGTGTTTGTGTTGAGGTCTTTGTCAGTGAAACATGTAGGGCCTGAAAAGTTTATTGTAGCATTCTAATGTTTTTGCTATAAGATTTAAAGTAGTTGATATTATGGCACTCGACAGCTTGTTTTTGTCTTTTCAGATTGTATAGGGCAAAGAGTTGTGAATTCACTTTTTCAGAATTTGATGTTTTCAGGTGGGAAGAAAGCCCCTCGTTTGTGTGTTGGCGGTTCCGAACCACATGACTTATGCTGATTTTTGCCAGTTCTCTGGTTCTTTCATTCAACACATGCTTGAAATGCGAATTGTGAGGTAACATCTAGATGATAATTCATTCACAATCAACATTTTTAGTGAGAATTCTTCATGGTTTAAGAAAATAATTGAGTTGATTATTATTATTGATTTTTTAGGACTGATGGGATGGAGGATCAATACAGTGTTCTAATAAGGTTTGATGACCAAACTTACGCAGATGCCTTTTTTAAGCATTTCAACGGGAAGAGGTTTTCTTCTTTGGAGGTTTACAATCTTTTGAAGCCTTTACATAATGTCAAGTTCTTTCTAAAAAAATTCACATGCTACTGAGTATTTTTCTTTGTGTAGGTTGATATCTGTCGTGTTCTTTATACCGTAGATGTACAATACACAGGATCAATAGAACGTGCTCAGGGTTCACTGGCCAGTTCAGCTGAACAGCCTTCTTGTCCAGTGTGTCTTGGTAAGTGTTCTTAATGTAAGTTCTGGTAGCTGGTTAACCTTGTGGTAAGAATAAAATCTTATGGAATTATTGCTTCCCTGAAGTTGGAGCTTTTTCAGATTCAAAGGCTACTTACCTTCATTTTAGTCTCAGTTAAAAGTAAATATAGTACATATTTTTCAGGTTTTGAGGAAAACCGGTACATTGTAAGCTATCATCTCCACTAGCATTTGTTATGTAATGTGCCTTTCTGACTCTGTGAGGCAAATATTTTGTTCCCTTAACAGGGTATGGTTCCTGTCTTTTTCGTTACCTGTTCCCCACCCCTCCCTCCTTCTATATATATGTTCATGCATTCGTGAGTACACGTGGAAGCATCATCTAACCTCTTCACATCTAAATTTTGTAATTTTCTTATATATCAGTTTTTTGTGCTTTATTAAACTATTCAATTTGAAATTTACTACTTAGAAGGACTTGGACACAAATCTGCCCATTGAAATTTGATGTTAGAATGTCCACTTTGAAGAACCTTTTCATTGCATTTGATCTATGTAAATTATGATCTGAAGTGTTTATGAACCAAGTTTTAGAAAATTCTTGGATTTCTCTTTCAAAACTAGCATTTCTTGGTGTCAGGATTTTCAAGGTATTCTGATCATGCCAGCTTTTGGGTTCTAGATCTGTGTGACAGAAACTATTTATCTTAACAACTGGCCATTTTCTATTGCACTTTTTGTGCCTAGTTGACGAATGAATTAAAGAACTCAACAGCATTCGAGCTTTGGTTGTTAGGGAGTTGACATGATGTAGATTAATTGTAACAACATAGATTATTCATCTGAATGATGTAATATGAACTTGAACGTAAAGGATGCAATTTTCATATCCTTCAGGAAGTAACCAAGTATGCAAGTGTGCGTGCGTGTGCGTGCTTGCATGCGTGGGTGGGTGTGCATACCTGTAACATACTTATTGTACTTCGTTGGGCTGTTCCGGTAGGTGTTAGTTCCATGTGTAACCCATCAAAACAAATGTAGTTCTCTCCCCCTTTCCAACAATAATGACAATGATAGCACATATATGCCTCTGCAGTCTGCACAATGGACCACAATTTGGAGTTTTATTAACCCCCTCCTTTCAGCATGCACAATCAAAATGAACTATAACTACAAGAAAAGTATATAATTGTCGAGGTTGCATTTCTACCCTTCAATACACAGGAAACAATTGACCCTTGCACCTTGTTTGGTACGCGAGAATTGAGTCAAGTGAGAATGGAATGAAATAAGGAATAGAACGGCTAGTGGGAATGGAATGCTCATTCACATCTCACGTGTGGGTGCAATTAGGGAATAAAGTGGGAATAACCTTTTTTTGTTATTAAATTTGTGGTATGGTAACTAATATGCCATTAAAGAACATTTGGAATGCTCATTCCCACATAAAATGGGAATGAATGAGAAGTGGGAATGAGCATTCTAGCTTCCAAAAAGGTGTTATGTTTGGTATGCATGAACTAGAAGTGGGAATGGGCATTCCATTCCCACCCATTTTTGTGTACCAAATGAGGCGTTAAAGTGAAGAATTAAGATGGAGGAGAAGGAATAAGCTTGTATACGTCGTAGGAAAAAGAGAATGGCAGTCATAAGAATCTTATATGCATATCTCCGACATGATCTATTTCTTTCTTGCATGTAGTATAAGCAGAATTTCTTTTGACATGCAATTATGTGACTTCTCATGTCGTCACTGTCTCATACATGATCTTTATAATCAATCTACTAGTTCTTAACAGTGATTGATTTCTTTTCTTTTTTGATGCAGAGAGGCTAGACCAAGATACCGGTGGGATTCTCACAACAATTTGCAATCATTCTTTTCATTGTTCTTGTATATCGAAGTGGACAGATTCTTCTTGTCCGGTTAGTACATCTATTGTCATTGTTTCCAAGTTGGTTTAATGTTAACTCGCAATTTTGTGATGTATTGCTCATTATATATACACACACACATGATGAGTACTGGTCTCCATAGCGGTTCCTTCTCCTTCAGCATTTATCTGTTGTTTTAAGTACGCATTTGAAGTTGCATCTTCTTGTTTGATTTGATATTTTTACACTTTTTTTTGGTTTAATAGTTTGATTTTATACCTTCTCTAGGTTTGCAGGTATTGCCAACAACAACATGAAAAATCTACATGTTGTATTTGCGGGATTCCTGAGAACCTCTGGATATGTGTTATCTGTGGTTTTGTTGGTTGTGGAAGGTAAAACATGTTTCAGATGTAAAATTTGCTTATATGTGGCCTAAGAAAAGAAGACTATTAATTTTGAATCAAACATATAACTTTAGTTCATTACTTTGGTTCATTTTTCATTTAACAGATACAAGGAAGGCCATGCTATTAGACACTGGAAAGAGACGCAACACTGCTATTCACTTGAATTGGAAACTCAACGCGTCTGGGACTATGTTGGCGACAATTATGTTCACCGGTTAATTCAGTCAAAAACTGACGGGAAGTTGGTAGAGTTGAACTTCCATTGCACTTATGCTGATCATACACGTGGAACTTGTGAATGTAGTGCTGATACTGGAATCAATGAGGCTCTTTTCAGCAGTAAAGTTGATGCTGTAATTTTTAGCTTAAGGATTTCTTTTTCCGGAAATTATGCATTAAGTATAACATTAAAATATTTCTACGCTTACGATTCTTCCTTTACTATGACAGATTGTTGAAGAGTATAATGACCTCCTTACATCCCAACTTGAGAACCAAAGAAAAGTATGTACTGACAATATTTTTCATGTTCACTTTCTTGTTGAAACTTTTGAACAACGTAATTCACATCTAATTCAGCTCAAGAACCATTTCTAGAAACTTCTCATTTTACGACTTCCTTGATAAATGGGCTTATATTAGTTTTTGTATTGGGTCAAGAAGACTGCATCAAAAGTGATATCAGCTAGCATGCAAAGGTTGAATATGGATTATGAGTTGATATGTTCTAATGTAGTAACTTTTTTTGTTGGTAGTATTTTGAATCACTATTGCAAGAAGAAAAGGAGGAAACTGAGAGAGAATTGTCTGGAGCTATTGAAAAGTCTGCAAGTTCAAAGCTGCAAAAGTTAAAGTCCAAGCTTGATAAGTGTGTTGAAGAGAAAAAATTTCTTGATGATGTAAGTACCTAATATTTCTAGTGCATAGATTTGCAATTTGCTGTTTAACAAATTTAGAGATATCTCCAGAAATTATATATTTCTAAATTAGTAAAACTGTCGATTTATCCACGAACAAGTTGTTTATTGCTTGCAGATTAATGAAAATCTCATGAAAAACCAAGACATGTGGAAAAGTAAGATTCAGCAGATCGAAGAAAGGTATTTGCCTTGCTACTACAATCTCTGCTCATACTTCATAGTAAACAGATGATGAAGCGAGCATATGATGTAACAAATAGAAGATTGATCATCTCATAGATGACACTGTTTCTCATGTCTCTACATGTTAAATCAGTAAAACATGTTTAAACACATTGTGAAATCATGTGTTTTTGGACACTTCTCACCTGGGATATAATGGTCCGCTAGACGTTATATTATTTAAAATTCATACATTTTAGCCAATTTGTTCATTATGAAACCACTCAGTGAAGAGGAAAGGTCTGCAGACCACTTAAATTCATGAATTTGCTTCAGAACATCTTTTTTTTCATTTTTCAAGTGCATACATAGCATAAAGGGGTAAGGAATTAGATCTCACAATAGTTTTTCACTAAAGTCATATGTTTCCGTTTTCTTGTATGGATCTCCAGGATTTGTATAAGATTCAGATTTTAGATCTGATTTCATCTTCTAGATTTGTACCTTTAACCGAGGGCTCAAATTTGGTTTCGGTGTTTTACATCCTCTAGCAAGGTTCCATTTGTTATTTGTTGAATTCTTTTTTGGAATTTTTTTTAGAGAGTTGAGTTTTGAAGCTGAGCAGATCTATTCCTCGTCCACTTTGGTTGAAACTTATTCATAAACATGTCTTGCATACTAAGTCTATTTTCAGACTTATTGGATAATTGTTTATTATTTATGGTTTTCTTATCTAAATAGTTTTTTGAATAATTTTTGAAGTTCAATTATGAGGACTACTGTTGTGAATCTCATGGTTTTAACAGTTGTTCATGTCTGTTTCACTATTTATTCTTGACAGGTACTCGTACACTACTGGGTTTGTTGATTTGACCAGAGTCTTTGTGAACCATGATGTGTATAAATTAAGGTCGCTTAATATCGGTTCAGCCAGACCCACTTGTTACCCATTTTAGATTGGTCATAGTTCCTCATCGTCTTCCTAGATAAAATTTAAGGCGGAATGGGTGGGAATGGAATACTCATTCCCACTTCTCATTCATGCCTACCAAACACAATGTCTTTTTGAAAGCTAAAATGCCCATTCCCACTTCTCCTTTCCCACTTTTTGGAGGAATGGGCGTTCCCATTGACTTGGTAAGGAATGAGCATTCCCACTTAAGTGGAAGTGGGAATGAAAAAATTAAATTACATACCAAATATGCCATAAAATGATTTTCATTCCCACTTGATTCTCTAATCGCATCCAAACATGAGAATGGAAATGAGCATTCCATTCCCACACTCATTCCACTCCGTTCCTTGTGTCATTCCATTCACTTGATCCCATTCCTGCATACCAATTGCAGCTGCAGGTGTTTCCTAACTAAATGGGTGCTTTTATGCAATGGTTGAAGTTTTCTCTCCCTCCTTTCCTTAGCCCCTCCCTTCAAAAAGAGTACCTATTCAGATTTTGCGACAATTGCCCCATTTCCCTCCATTATCAAGGCACCCAACTAACGGTTCTTGATGGAATATCACTTGTTTATGTCAGATTTAAATTGAAAAATGCTAAACAATGGATGATCCTATGTGGTCTTGTCTTTCATTGGCCAAGTCCAATAAAATATGTATAACCTTGATTGACAGGTCAAGAACTGATCAGAAAGCCCTGATAAGTTCGAATAACAGATATCAGATAATCAAGAAATACAGAAAACAAGGCTAGGGGAACGAATAAAAACTGATACTAGTCTAGTAGTAATCTGTTTTTGTTGTTGTCGTCATTACATTTGAGTTGGCTAGATAGAAGACAATCAAGAAATAAAGAAAGGGGCTAGGAGAAAGAATAAAACGCTAGTAGTAGTAATCTGTTTTTTGTTTTTGTTGTTGTCATTCCATTCGAGTTGCCTCAACAGTGAGCTAAATATTTCCTAAAACGGCATTTTCTCTACATTTCATTTCAGAGAGCAAGCTGCTGTTAGGATGAGAGATGAAAAGATACAGAAATTGGAGGAACAGGTATCAATATATTTACATATTTTGATTGTTTGGTGCTCCATTTTTCTTCTTTATGAATTGTTGCGTGATACTGCCATGACTTGCATATGTTGGTTGAAACTTTAAGGACACCTCAACTCTTCATTAACTGTACTAGGTCACTAGCACCACCTTTCACTGAAATTTAGCTCCTATTGCGATGACATGTTCCGGTTCTGCATTTTCATGTGGAAATTAACTTAAGCAGATGCTAGTTTCATTTTCAATGTTCTTCCTGGTAAAATTAGATTCACTTGCTTAGGAATTCATAGTGGCCAAAGTTGAATCAGGAGCTTATTGATGAGCATATAGTGGCCAGCTATAGAGGTGATCATTAAATTGCACGCCTCCATTGATTTGGGAGATCATTTAATGGGATTGCAATTAGGTTTGTTTGGTCGATAACAGAAAACCAACAAACTTATAACCATTCAACCATACTAGCTGACAGTATTAGCTAGATACTAAAACCTCAGGCTTCTGATTGAAACTGTCAAACTTACAGATGCTATCTTGTTAGTTCCAATTTATGTTGGCCGGTTTGTTGACGGTTGTATCGTAGGTTGCCAATAAGCTGTTTTCTGGTAGAATCAGACGTCTCATTGATATGTATAATTTGAAGGGTTAAATGCGGATAGACCCCCTGTAGTCTCGATGTTTTGAACTTACTGCTGCTCAAGTTTTTATTTGCAGATAGAGCCCAAGAGTTACCCTTAGATAAAGAAAATGTTCTTTGACAAATAGACCCTCCAAGGGTGAAAGAGTCAAAAAAAAATTGCTTAATGGTTCTATCTGCAAAAAGAAATTTAGAGGGTATGAAATCCAAAATGCTATAGGGGATCTCTCTGCAATTAACCGAAAAAGTACAGGGTTTCCAGTTACACGAGATGAGGTAAATACCCTCATTTGTGTTGTTTTCTCTGGTTGAATTGCGATACTGCTGTAATGACAATTCGAGATATTTTTGGTGAATTGTATTCATTCACATATGCGTATATATGCCAATTTGAGGATTTTTCTGAAGGGTTGTACTTGGACGCATTAATTGAAGCTGGAGTTTAAAGATTCAATAGATCCGATCAAATGGAAATAGAACTTCAATGCAGTCAAGGATCTCAATTTTAAGTAACCAAATATTATGAATTGGTTTTTCACTTCCGTTATTTTCCTGCTTTATGAATCTGGGCAAGTACCTAAACTTTCAAGACAAAGGATACTTAAATCTAAACTGCAAGCATGCTAACTAGTTAAACTGTCATTTTTTATGTGGTTTAATTTTCAGCGAACGTTGTACAATATAGCTTCTGTTTCAATTGATATATCTTATAATTACTTTGTTGGAACGGTGACTATTATATGCCTGATTAGAATTACTTATACACGTAGCCCTCTGGTGTGGTGGCAGCCCTTATTTAGATGAAAACAACAGTAATCATCATTTGCCTCTTTTCATACAGTGTATATACTGAGTTAAAGGTATTGCCTGACAATAATAGGTATCATATCAAATTTTAAGCATTGATCCAATCCCACTGAATCCGACTATATGCATTATGATTTATTTTCCTAACAAAGGCCACGTTGATTAATAAAGAAAACATTTGGGGAAGATCAAATTTTGAAGTGTCAAAAGTTAATTTGATAGTATCATTCAGGAGGGGGGGAAAACAATTAGTATAAAGTTGGGGATTAAACTCTTGTAGTTATTCCATGTGAAGCACTGAGTCGATGCCTACGAAACTAAACTGAAATTGTGGTGGATACCAAGATTTGACATTCATAGATACTCTTCGCCTAGTGACCTACACAATCATGCAAAATCTTGCTTAGAATAGTACAGAAAATGGAATACCCTAAAAAGAAGATGATGCAGAATTTGGTGTTTATAAGATAATCCAAGGGACTAGAGAGAGCAACAAGTGCTAGATTCAGAAAATATTTTGAATCTCTCTTCTATATCATTTTGTTAATACACTGTCTGAATACGACATTTATGTAATTTTATGTATAGTGCTTCGTTATTTGATAGCTTATATGTATTGTCCTCTTATATTTTCACTTCTTATGCGGCAGCTTCATGATCTGATCGCTCGCATTGAAACTCAGAAGACAATAGACGAGCCAGGTTCAACTTCCGGTGATATCAAAGGAGGCACGGCTGCACCCGGACCTCCGGCTTCTTCCCCGAGAAAAAACAGCAGCAAGCGTGCCGCTAAGAATCGGAAAAGCTAGAATTGTTTTTAGCTATAATGAGCTCCTTTGTTTGTGTATAATTTGTTCTCTATTAAGAGAGCGATTTTCTTTTCGTTGTTCAGGGTGGCAAGTAGGTGGGTTAGAGGAGGCCCTACGTGCATCTTTTTTTACCTGCTCCTGATGGGATTTGTATACGACTCGTGTTCCAAAACTTGGACCTGTCGTCTCGAAATTGACAAGCAAAATTATGGGTCAGGGATAAAACCTCGAGGGACCATCGCCCACTGTAGCACATACGATTAAAAGTTGATCGAACTAACACTTTGTTTGTTAGCTTGGGTTTTTGTGATTTGGTACATAAACGTTGGCCCATGATGAACGAGAACTCAATTATTGGTTTTGAGTAGATGATGCAGGAGTTAGCCCTCCCTACCAATTCGGCAATTATTGTTTTTTTTAACCTGTTCAGGGTATACTTCTTTAAAAAGAGTACTGCTACGGGGATCTAAAATATGGGATCAAAGGAGGGGACATGTGAGGTGTCCCTTTCCTATTGTATAATGAGTTGGTCATGCCAACTCATGCTAACTTATTATGCAATAGTGAGGGGGACACATTACCTGTCCCCTTCCTTGGTCCCATATTTTGGGTCCCGTAGCAGTACCCTAAAAAAAATGGATCATTTTTTGGTTGCCGAGTTTTCCAAATGTCAAGAATATTTGTCTTTTCTTTTGTTATTGGATGTGTCGATAATCAAAAAGCTAGTCCGTATATAACTGAATTCATGACATGATTATCGCAGTCCCATCCAGGGACCATCTAAAAGAACAGAGAAATAAGATACCGTTTAATGGGTATTATTATTAGTACGATATATACTTTAACAACTCGTTATAAATTTTTTATCTTATTGTGAATAAAAAGGTATTCTCTAAAATTTAGGTAATTTCTCATGGTTAAATAAGATTGTAATATTACATTTGAGGTAACTTCTAGCACTTTTGAGCAATTTAAACTTCAAGTTATAAAATTTAGGAAAGTAATGATACTCTACAATATTCAAATGCAATTAGCTTTTTTTATATGTGGATAAATGATTTTAATATCTAGCATAAAAGCGATAATGCTTGGACTCTCATATAAAAAACCCTCTCCATTGTGCGTGACTACGCCATCCAATTCTCATCTAAATTTCTTTTGTCCATTTCCTATATCATCTTCTCCTCATTTTCTTTTCTTTTTTATTATGGTCTCCTCCTCATATAATTAAAATAACACGGTTACTATTTACAAAGCCCCTCCTCTAAAATGATAATTTCATGTTAGGATTTTACGGAATGATTTTTCGGTGTGATGGACTATGTTCAACTTTGAAAAGGATAAATATGAATATAAAATTAAGAACTTATTATATAAGACCCTAGATTTGTTTAATTTGATATAGAATCCCCAGATTTAACAGCTTTTAGTTCAAAATGTAGAACTTTTGAAGCTATTGCAAACTAGTGATCATTTTTTGTTTGAATTTATATTCTTAAGTCAATTAATTCATTTTTTTTTTCATTAATTAGCAACTTGAGAAAAAAGAATGACATAGTAGAAAAACAGTGATCAATATAAGTTTTTGATCTCTTCAGACAAATTTCCATTAAAATTTTTCTGCTAACCCTATAAAATTATTTTTTAAATATTTTTTGTATGAATTTACTATTTGTATCATTGTTAATTTTTCCTGGGCGTTCGACGCTGCTAGTATGAGTTAACTTCTAATGCTTGATTTGATTGAAACTTTAGATATTGTTTAGCCCTAAACATACTCTGAAAAGGATTGTCGACTCTTTTCATAAACAATACCCATCTGATAACTTGTCTTCAACCATTGAGAATGATTTATTGTGAATTTGATGCATTGATGATATATTAGGACGTATTCTTGAACATTTTTTCCCCTCTAATCCTTCTTTCTCTTCTTAAACTTCTTCTTGACTTGTATTATATTTATTTTTCTCAACTTAAGAAATTCTTAAATATTTATGTCCAGATGAGTGGTGAATCTATGTACCACCTTAAGGGAGCAGATGCACCCCATTTTGGATAATAGATATCATCATTCACTCCTCTAAGATTTTTTTTTTTTTCATGGACGTGGTCTCGAGTGCTCAAAAAAGATAGATGACATGTGAGGATAAACTTCGACCAAAGAAACATGTTTCTTCTTTAATGACAAAAATATAAGCCTCTGAGCATGTCTCGCAACATGCTTGTATGTTACTAATTTTACTTATAAGTATCTTTTTAGTTATAAATTAATGAGATCATGTTTGGTAAGGGTTCACTTATCTACTTATTTTCAACTTATAAGTAGCCAAAAAATAAGTTAGGATTTTCCAACTTATTTTTTGGCTACTTATAAGTAGTTTTACTTATTTACGTCAAAAGACCATAATCCCCTTCATACCTCTTTATTAATAGTAGCTATCAGTAACCATAAATAATTTGATATATAATATATATTTTAAATAAATATTTTCTTATTATAAAATACTAATTAGTATAATTAATTAATTAATTACTAATTAACTTACTGATAATTACAACTCATTTAATTAGTTATATTTTTTATTCTTAAGAATAAGTAATTATTATTAATAATTGTTTGTTAATTAATAAATAAATTTATTAAAGAATTATTATTTAATTATTTATTTATATTTTCATTTTTAAAATGAATAATTATCCTTACTAATTAAATCATTAAGTAATAAATAATTTTAATTATTATTATTTCTTTCTTTCTTTCTTTATATTTTTTGTTTTTAATAATAAAAAATATTCTTATTAATTAATTAGTTAACTATTATATAAAGTCATTAATAATTACTAAATTTACTAGTAGTTATTATTTAATTATTAATTAATATTTTTTAATAATAAAAATTATTCCTCTTAAATAATTATTTAGTTAATAAATAAAACTATTAATAATCCTTAATTTAATCAATAAGAAACTAACTAATCAATATTAGTATTAGTAATTAATAACCAAAATTAGTGTAATATACAATTTAGATATATTTAATATTATGAGATAATTAAATTTTAACTAATTAATTAATTTACTAGTAATAATTTTTTATTAATATAAATTAATTACTTAGTCTGAAATATTTATTTGTTATTATTTACTTAGTGTATTAATTAAAAACTATATTAATAAATATTATTTTATTAATATATAAGTAATTAGTTAATTAATTATTAGATTTAACAAGATGTTAGTTTGGGTCATTTGAAAACTATCACAACCTTATAAATTATTGGTTCACCAAACAAATAACTACTATACACATATCCTTATAAGTTAAGAGTTTTATCAAACACCTTACTTTTTTTTACATCCTTATAAGATGTTCTGAAAATAAATAATAACGAACCTATGAGGTAACAAAAAATAAACAGTAGCCAAACATGCTCTCTCCATAGCCCATTTAGGGAACATAGTTTGTATATCTATGTCAAATTTTGTCCCCCTTGCGGATATTATAATTTCGGTTAAAATTATTAGGGAAAAAATATGTCAAGGCCCCCAAAAAAGAAAGTGGTTGTGACTAGGCCCCCCCGTATTATTTTTTGTGTGACAAAACCCCCAATACATGAAATAATTATGTTTCAGCCCCTATTTAACTTTCTAAGACAGCACATGGAGAAACTATTTGCCAAAGCCCTAAAATATCCTTAACCTCGTTCCCGTGGCCTTACTTCCACCGCCTCGACATCCTCATCGGCCCCACCCTCTTCAAAGCGCCCCGCCACCGCTGCGGTTGCCGAGGTCTGCGCGTTGCAGGGCGGCGGCATAGTTCCCGCAGAAGATGAGGACTCAGACCATCACCAACAATGTTAGCGTCAACGTCAAGAAGAGGCCGAGATCGCCGGTGGTGGAGGAGGGGGAGGGGGATGGGTGGAGCTTGTTGGCGAGGGTGGTTCTAGGGTTTGGGGAGGTTTACGAGAGGCTGGAGAGGGGGAAGACGATGCAGGAAGTGGATATTGAGAAGCGGATGATGAGGTTTTTCAAGGAGCTCGAGGTTCAGAGGATGGAGTTCATTATTAATGCCCAGATGGAGATTTCGACGTTGGATCGGCATTTGGGCGAGAGAAGTCATCGGAGGCATCGCCGGAGTTCGAGTGATGTTTACAGTAGCGTTAAATGAAGCCTGGCAAGAAGAAACTGAGAGTATAGTTACTTTCTGATGTAAAAGAGAGTAGCTGATTCAAATTGAAGTGTATATGCATCCACTTGCTCAATATGTACAGAGTATGGTCCTTTTTTGTGCTTTGAGAATCTGATACTGATATCAACGATCATGTTGTTGATGTTACCTGCATTGTTTTTCACTATGGACAATGTTTGTGTGTCTATTGAAGATATGCATATCTAATTTCATCCTACATGTGATGTTAGCGAAGACCGGTTGCATTCTCTAGAGAGTAATTATGGGTGTTTCTGATGCGAAATAGAACTGATTAATATTTACGAATCAAGCATAATAGGTACCAACAAGTTATTGGCTCGGTGGTAACAAGTTGTCAGGACGTTGTTTCAGAACTGCCGGTATGTTGCTGAAGTCAGGTTGAATGAGGACGTTGTTAAGCATTATAACTCGGCTGAACACAGTGCATATATTGAACCACTTGTAGCTGAGCTTCTAATAGAATGATGGAGATAGAAGAATCAAGCAAAGCCATTAAATAATAATGAAGAAAAATTTGTTTCAAAAATTGATTGATTATAAAAACTTGTGCACATATTTATATTGTGTTACTAATTTTAGTTGTATTAACAGTAGATGTGGATGACAAACAATGCAACAAGCTTGTCTTTTATTATTCTTATTGTATTTACAGTATTTTTGCCATCAATTTGATACGTTCATTGTTGATACCACAAATACTTAACGGGTTCAGCTGGAAAGTTAACATGTTTAGCTGAAAGTTAACAAGCATCATCAAAAGTTAACATTGTTCGAACGAAAGCTAACAGGAAACGAAAAAAGTTAACATGTTCAGCCAAAAATTAATAGGCAACGTCAAAAGTTAACACGTTAAAATGAAAGTTAACATGTACCGACTTACATAGTTAATGGTAAATGTAAATAGCTTACATATAAAATTATTGTACTTCAATACGATTAGTCTTACATTCTTACATCTAATATTGCTTGAATACACAATTTAAATAGAATTATTATTCCTAGCTGAAGTATTGTTCGTCATAGAATAGTATTGCAAAATTAGTCTTAAATTTTTTATACTTTCATTGTTGGCCCCTTTCAGTTAATGATGTGTAACACCATTGAGAAACGATGAAAGTGCTGTTGAGAATATCTTCTGATCTCACTACATTCTCACCA